CCAGTAATAGAATTGCTGGGTCAAATGGTATTTCTAGCTCTAAATCCTTGAGGAATCACCACACTGTTTTCCACAATAGTTGAACTAATTTACATTTTCACCAACAGTGTAAAAGCATTCCTGTTTTTCCACAGCCTCACCAGCATCTATTGTTTCCTGACTTTTTAAAAATTACCATTTTTACTTGCTTAAGGTGGTATCTCATTGCGGTTTTGATTTGCAACTTAAAGTAAAACACACACACACACACACACACACACACACACACACACACACATATTTTTTAAGTATCCTGAAATAAGAGAGGCCAGGTGATGACATGTAACCCCACAAGCAAGGTGGGCCCAAATATAATGAACAACAACACTGGAGTAGCAGCCACAGGGTCCTGAGAAAAAAGAAGCTATGAAGTTGGTTAAAAGAATGCTGGTGGCAAAATACATGAATAGCAAACAACGAACGTAGTCACCCTACACCATCATAAGAAATTATGGTCTCTAGATATTTGGAAATTAAAGAACATATTTCTAAATAACTAATGGATCAAAGAAGAAATTTTAAAAAGAATTTATCGACTATAACTGAATAAAAATGAAAACACAACTTATCAGTGATAAAAAGTATGAACGGTTGATGGAAGAAACAAAATAATTATTTTTTCTTTTTCTGTTCAAAATAATTATTCTATGTGTAACAAGACAGAAAAGAATACATACTGCATGATTCCATTTACATAAAACTCTAAATAATACAAGGTGATGTACAGTGACAAAATGCAGATTAGAGGTTGTTTGGGGGGCAGGAAGGATAGGAGAGAGATCACAAAGTGGCACAAGAATATGTTTAGATTTTATTATCTGTTTTTTATCTTTATAATTACCTTGATTGTGATTACTTTTCATGGTTTTTTACATATGTCTAAACATAAAATTGTATACTTTAAACATGTACGGTTTGCTGCATGTCAATTATATCTCAATAAGACTATTAAAAACAAAGATTCTACAGCTCTAAAAAAGAGAGAAAGAACTTTAATAGCATTAACTGAATATCAAAATCACCACATACTTTAGGACATTTACTCTGTTCCCAAAGACCAGGCAAAGAAAAGACAAAAACAGGTATAATATGCTGAACAAAGTTTTCAGTCTAGCAAGTGAAGAAAGATAAGAAATCGTTGCAAGATAGCGTGATTAAGAGCAGTACAACGAGTGAACACAGAATTTTACGGCAAGAGGAAAGCCAACTAACCCCTTTGTAAGTGAATCAGAAAAAGGCTTCCCTTAAGATGTCAAGACAAAGCAGAACCCTAGAGCATAAAAATGGATAAATGGAAAGATCTTTCTAGACAGCAAAATTGTTTATTTGAAATGTAAGATGTAAGAGAAGGCTTGACACATTCTATGCATTATAAAGAAATCAGCATGCCACAGTCTTTAGTAGGAGGCGGGAATAGAAGAAGAAATCTGTTTTGAGAGGTTATCATTCTTCAATCAGGAAAGGAATTTAGACTTTTCCCAGAAAAAAATGGGCAGTGATTAAAGGATTATACGCAGCACAGTGACATTACCAAATTTATGTCTCAGAAATACATTCAAAAGTCAACATCTGTGTTTCCAAGTTATGTTAGTCAGAATTCTCGAAAGGGACGGAACTAAAAGGGTAGATGAATATATGAAGGGGAATTTATTAGAATTGACTCACACAATGGCAAGGTTAAGTCCCACAATAGGCTGTTGGCAAGCGGAGGAGCTAGTTGGAGTTTCAAAACCTCAAAAGTAGGGAACCTGACAGTGCAGCCTTCAATCTGTGGTCAAAGCCCCAAGAGCCCTTGATAAATCACTGATGGAAGTCCAAGATTTCAAAAGCTGAAGAACTTGGAGTCTGATGTTCGAGGGCAGGAAGCCTCCAGTATGGGAAAGAGATAAAGACAAGAAGACTCAACAAGTCTGCTCTTTCCACCTTCTTCTGCTTGCTTTATTCTAGCCAAACAGACAGCTGATTAGATGGTGTCCACCCACATTGAGGGTGATATGCCTCTCCCAGTCCACTGACTCAAATGTTAATCTCCTTTGGCAACAGCCTCAAAGACACTCCCAGGAACAATACTTTGCATCCTTCAATCCGATCAAGCTGACATTTAATACGAACCAAGACACAACTTATTGCCATATCTAGGTGATAAATGGCTATGACCACAACTATCATGGTGGCAATGGGGATGGAAGAAAAGGGCTTGATTCTAGAAATAATAAGGCCATAGAATTCATGGAGTTAGATAGGGACTAGCAATGAGAAAAACACCATGAAACTATGGTGACAAATAAATTGGGGCCAAGAATTGTAGATTCAAAGATATAAAATCTGTGCAAACTCCCTTTCACAATTGCTAGAGAGAGAATAAAATACCTAGGAATATAACTAACAAGGTAAGTGAAGGAACTCTTCAAGGAGAACTACAAACCACTGCTCAAGGAAATAAGAGAGGACACAAACGGGTGAAAAACATTCCATGCTCAGGGTTAGGAAGAATCAATATCATGAAAAGGAACATAAACCCCTAAAGTAATTTATAGATTCATTGCTATCCCCATCAAGCAACCATTGACCCTCTTCACAAAACTGGAAAAAACCACCTTAAACTTCATATGGAACCAAAGAGAGACTGCATAGCCAAAACAATCCTTAGCAAAAAGAACAAAGCTGAAGTCATAATGCTACCTGACTTCAAACTATACTACAAAGCTACAGTAGTCAAAACAGCATAGTACTGGTACCAAAAAAGAGATATAGACCAATGGAACAGAACAGAGGCCTCAGAAGCAACCCCACACAACTACAACAATCTGATCTTTGACAAAGCTGACAAAAACAAGCAATGGGGAAAGAATTTCCTATTTAATAAATAATGTTGGGAAATCTGGCTACCCATGTGCAGAAATCTGAAACTGGATCCCTTCCTTACACATTATACAAAAATTAACTCCAGATAGGTTAAAGATTGAAACATAAAACCTAACACCATAAAAACCCTAGAAGAAAACCTAGGCAATATCATTCAGGACCTAGGCACAGGCAACGACTTCATGACTAAAATACCAAAAGCATTGGCAACAAAAGCCAAAATAGACAAATGGGACCTAATTAAACCAGAGTTTCTGCACAGCAAAAGAAAAAAATCATTACAGTGAACTGGCAACCAAGAGAATGGGAAAAAATTTTTGCAATATCCCCATCTGACAAAGGGCTAATATCCAGAATCTACAAAGAACTAAAACAAATATACAAGAAAAAAACAAACAACCCCATCAAAATGTAGGTGAAGAATATGAACAGACACTTCTCAAAAGAAGACATTTATTCAGCCAACAAACATGAAAAAGTGCTCACTATCACTGGTCATTAGAAAAATACAAATCAAAACCACATTGAGATACCATCTTTCACCAGTTAGAATGACGATCATTAAAAATTCAGGGGACAACAGATGCTGGAGAGGATGTGGAGAAATAGGAAGGTTTTTACACTGTTGGTGGAAGTGTAAATTAGTTCAAACATTGTGAAGACAGTGTGGTGATTCCTCAAGGATCTAGAAATAGAAATTCCACTTGACCCAGCAATTCCATTACTGGGTATACACCCAAAGGATTATAAATCATTCTATTATAAAGACACATGCACACATATGTTCACTGCAGCACTGTTTAAAATAGCAAAGACTTGGAATCAACCCAGATGCCCATCAATGATAGACTGGATAAAGAAAATGTGGCACATACACGCTATGCAGCCATAAAAAAGGATGAGTTCATGTCCTTTACAGGGACATGGATGAAGCTGGAAACCATCATTCTCAGCAAACTGACATAAGAACAGAAAAACAAACACCACATGTCCTCACTCGTAAGTGGGTGTTGAACAATGAGAACACATGGACACAGGGAGGGGAACATCACACACTGGGGTCTGTTGGGTGGTTTAGGGGCTAGGGGAGGGATAGCAAGGGGAAGGAGGAATTGGGGAGGGGTAACAGGAGAAATACCTAATGTAGGTGATGAGGGGATGGATGCAGCAAACCACCATGGCATGTATATACCTATGTAACAATCCTGCACAATCTGCACATGTTCCCCAGAACTTAAAGTATTAAAAAAAAAAAAATAGATGATGAATTCTGGCTTGGCCATGTGGAGCCTGAGATGCCTGTACCATGTTCCAGTTGGAAATGTCCAATATGCATACTGGTGACCAGAAAAGATGGAGAGTGGAGAATTGGGATTGTGAGTTATTAGTGCATATGAGATACAAATTAGTGTATTTAAGAGACAGAGATTAGCACTTAAGTTGAGTAAATAAGGCAACTCCCTCTCTTCCCACTACCAGTAGACCCAGTGGAGCAAAAACATTTTTAAAACATTTTTTATTAACTTGTTTCATTTGTATAGATAGCCATGATGAACAGGTGACTTAAGAGCCCATAATTAAAGTATCAACACAGTCAGCATTAAGTAGGATTATTTGTAACAATAGTTATTCTTTCTTCATATTTATTAACTAAAGTTGAATAAATCATTGGATTTCAGAATGTAGGATATTAACACAGAAGAATTTTCCCTACAGACACATAACTGAAAGAATTTCTCTTTATATATATTCTTACCCATTGAACATGATCTGATTTTTCATTAAAGATAGAAAAACAGATTAGCATAGATTGTCTTCTAAGGAAAGACAATATTAATGAGCTAGATACATTTAGAGTAAGATATATGAAGTATTTCTGGTTTATGGCCAACTATGTTAAATTCATTCAACAATAATTACATAATGGCTACTATAAGCCAGACATTCAGTCAAAAACATGGATTCAGTTCTGGGCTTCTAGATCAGAGTATATTATTTGACTAGAAAATAGACTTTAGGATGATAATTCCCTAGAAATCAAACACTAGTCTCAAAGAACTAAGAGATCAATGCCCTCAAACAGACTACAAGTTAATTTAATCATAATTTCTCATTTTCCGAAAAAATTTGAACAGTGTGTTGGGTCCCTTTCTCCATTTTCCTGCATTGATATTCCTCACAGGCTTTGTTCTGGGAGATGATGACTGATTTCTATTTGGTTTTCTGGGATGCAGCTGGTAATCTTTACTGCTTATGAACTCAAGCCAGTTGACCCCTGGAGGCAACCGATGGTAACTGAGTACCTTAGGGAATACACGACATGAGAGTGTGGGTGTCAAAAACTCATTGGAATAAGGGTGAGAAAAGGGTGAGATGGAAGAGGAAGAGGAGGAAGAAGATGAAGAAGAGGAGGAAGAAGAGGCAGAGGCAACAGAGTAAGAGGAGGAAAAGGAAATGGAGGAGGAAGAGGAGGGTGGGAGCAGGGATTGTGGCTGAGAATTATTTTTTTTAACATAAAACAGCCAGTCAATAGCCTGGGTCTGTTGGCCTATAACTTTGTTTTCAGGGGCTGCCATCAACCATTTCTGCTTCTTACTAAGTCCCTGGATATCCTGTTCAGATGTGGGGGGAAACTGCGGCATGTTTTCTACTCCTTCAAGGTTGTTTTCAGGGGCTTCACCAGGCTGGTTTTCTTTCATAGGGAATGGGAGAGAAGATGAGAAAGTCTCTGGTAGAGAAAGGATAAGAACTAATTTCACCTCTATTTTGCCCTCAGAATTGGCCTCAGGTGTTGGTATGACAAAAAGTGTTGCACAACGAGGATTTTTCTTCCCTGCAAGATGGTTACATGGAGATTTTATGCAGGAAGCACAAGCTAAGCAAACCATATAATTTGATGACAGGCGAGGACCAGGACGAGGATTTGGCCTTCCCCTCATCCTTCGAAGCAAAATCTGCCTACAGAGATCCCTCTGTATTCTGGTCTTTGAGATAGAATTGACAATTGTATTTACCACATCATCAGGGACAGTTCCACCTTTAACAACACAGGGCTGACTATACTTTAAATTCCATTGACTTTCTTTATTTGGTTCTGTCTCTGGAGAAAAATCACAGCTGCTTTTACTCTGGAGTCTGAAACCCAATGTTGAAGCAGCTGTGTTTCTGGTGCAGCGTTTGGAGCTTGATAATAATTGACCTGAGACATTTGTTTTTGGATGGGGTGATGGTAGGTGTGTGACTCTGTGTTTGTCATTTGGTGAAGTGGTATTCTGAAACTTGAAGTGACAGACAGGTGAACTGGGGGTCTGGGAATTACAATCAAGCATAAACATTGACTGAGAATTGAGCTGGAATGATGGTAAACTCTCAGATGGGTGGACAAAATATGATGATGATGATTCCCTTGCTTTTGAATGGGACAATGGTAAGCTTACAATAGTGGGGTTAGAGTTCAATATAGATGTTTTCTGAAGTCTAGAGTCAAGAAATGGAGAGGTAAGAGCCATTTGATTGGGTTTGAAAGAAGGTGGTGACCCAAGTAAGTCACCTGTTTGGAGTTTTGTGTTGAGTGATGGTAAACTCAAAGATCTCTGATTGTGCTGTAGTAAAGATGTCCAGAAGCAGTCCAATGAGGATGTGTTCTGAAGTTTGGATTGAGGTAATGTTGAGCTAAGTGCTCTTTGTTTGGATCCCAATGAAGATGCTGCCCAAACAATGTTTACGGAAGGTATTTCTCGATTTTGGAGAGGAAATAATGATGAACTTGAGACTCTTTGATTAGACTTCAATGAAGGTGACCCCCAGCAAACATCTAGGCTTGAAGATGTTGTTTGAGGTTTAGAGAAGGGTAATTGTGAACTCAAGACTGTTTGATTGAGCTCCAGTGATGACGTCTTGTTGAGGTCAGATAAAGATGTTGTTTGAGCTTTGGAGTACAACAAATGAGAGCTCAGGGCTCTATGAGCAGGCCACAATGAACTTCTCCAGGGGAGGCCTCGTGAAGGTGTCTTCTGATGCTTGGCATGGGACAATGGCAAATTCAGAGTCCTATCACAGAAGATCTGTGAAATTTTGTCCTGGGATTTGGGAGAAGGCAATACTGAGCGTCTCTGGACCTTCCTGTTGGAGCCCACTGGAGGTACTGCAAAGTGATTGCTATGGGATTGCACTTTGGCCTCAGGTTGGTTATTGAATTGATTTAGTTTTTCACCTGTATTTTGATGTGTTAATGAATTGGCCGAGGCCAGTTGGTAGAAGTAGTCTAATGGTACAAAATGTTGACCATAACATGCTAATGGCACCATCTTGTGTTGTGGGTAGAGGCAAGCAATGGATACTTATACATAATTGCTAGCTTATATCTTGTAATATTTCTGTTAATCCTCAAATAGTATAGACTATTGCAAAATTGAAATGTAAATGAGATTGAGATTATCTTCTGTATTTTCTTTAGCTTCCGACACTTTTTTCTCCTGATGAAATAATGCCTGTTAACAAAACAGTAGGGAAAGGTCAGAAGAGGTCCTCATAGAAATATTAATTTTCTCAAGCATTTTCTTATAGTGACTACAGCACAGGTGTTATGTCAAATTCCAGCCACTATGTGTATTGCATCTACTTAGTGTATCACTATGCATCTCTTTTAAATTAAACTTTCAAAACCCCAATTCGTCATCTTTAAAATAGACAAATATGATATTTAACTTATTGGGCTAAAGACTAAATTGTATATATTCTAACAGTGCCCAGGATATTATATTATAGGTGCTTAATAAAATGTAGTAGTTATAGGTGCTTAATAGAAAGTAGGTGCTCTTTTAATAATTGCATTTGTAAAACAAACAAAAATCTGTGATAAGTTTATTTTGTGTAAAAAAAAGAAAAATGAAAAGGAAGCTTGAAATGTTTACTTTCAATTTAGATTCAGTTGACCATCACTATCATCTTTTAGAGTTTATTTCCAAAAGCGTATCGCATATTTTCAGTTATTTGTCACCACTGCAGCATTGAAACTTTTGACTATACCCTTTTAAACTACTGTTTTATTGTTATCCATTATTTCTCCACACACTGATCCTCTACCCTTATTGTCCTATTCTTTTTCAAGGCTTGATTGAATTCTTTACTTTTGCCCCAACCCCAATTTAGTTGTAAGAGTTATACTACCAAGCCTCACCTATTTTCAATTTATTTCTAAGTAATCACATCAGTTATGTTTAGGATTTTTATATGAACTAGAGGCTTCTTAAAATGATAGAACCTTATAGCTGGTCAAAAGTGATGCAAGCATCTACCACTCAAGAAAGAGGCCTATGCTACTTCTTAAAGGCAATGCATAGGGTGTCATGTCACACAACTTTATTTTTCATAGGCAAAGGTTTGTTCTTTAGGCTTTAAAGCCAAGATATATGACACAATTTAAAAAAAAAAAAAACTAAAGTGATTATAACAGATTCTGAAATCAGTCAATTAAGTCCTTGGCCTGAGGCCCTTGAAGAATGAAAAGTCTTAGAATTGGTTCCATGACTATTTCTGTGTTTCCATGACTTACCAACCCAATATCTGATGGACAAGCTTATTTCTCATATATGCCAACTTATCCAGTTAAATTACTATCAATTCTATTATTGCTAGAAGTTTTTTTCTTTATATCAAGGTGACTTTTCACAGTTACTTTTCCTTTGCATTTATTTTTAAAATATGTCTTATTAGTATCATAATTCACTTGTTTTTCAAGCCTTACATCATTCTTTGTGGAATTTTCCAAGTAACAACAATAAGGATAGTCATATACCATTAACTAATGTTTTGTTTCTAGTCCTAGTTTGTCTCTTGAGCTTCCAAAGAGTATTTCCAAATAATCATCAAGCTTCTTCATCCAAAAGTTCCAAAGACAATTTAAAGACAAAACAAGAAAAATTTAATAAAGTTATTTCTCTTTCCAGAGAAATATTTTTCTATACCCTCTGTCTCAGTTCCAAACACTTAGTCATTTAATTCAGATACTTTGAAATCATCCCAGGCAGCTTCACCCTCCCAAGCCATTTAGACACCAAGACCTGTTGATTTTATCACTTCCATATCTTAATTCACCGTTTTCTATAGAATGCCACCACTATAGGGTACATCTTATTTAAACTGTATAATTAGAGTAACTTCTATATATCTTTTCAATATGACTTCACTCTCTCTCTTCTCCTTCTTTCCAGTGAGACATATAAAAGCAAACTCTTACTGGTGAGATACCACTGCTGCTCACTCAAAGATTTTCATTGCTTTCCACATGCCTGCATGAGTAATAAACCTGAAGTTTCTCTAGCTTGTTGGACCTGGGGTTAGGGGAGAAATGCACAATCTACAATATACTACAGACTATCCTACCAAACTTCTAAATGGCAAAATGAAATAACTTCATAAATTTGGAGGATGCAAAGATTTCTTAAACAGAGCAAAGTAGTAGCCATTAAGAATTGATAAATTTAAGAACTCCCAATAACCAAAAGACATCATATTGGAAAGAATAAAGGCAAATTACAATACATATATATATATATATATATATACACACACACACACACACACACACACATATATATATA